ACAAAGCCGCACACTGAGAGATCGCCCTCGCCCCGCAGCCGAGGAGGCCAGCGAGTACTGGGACGGCGAGAAGCCGGTGCTGGTGGCGGCCGAGGGCAGCACGGTGACGCTGCCCTGCGTCAACCGGCAGCACATCTGGACGGAGCGGCACAGCGAGGAGGAGCAGCAGGTGGTGCACTGGGACCGGCAGCCCCCCGGGGTRCCCCACGACCGCGCTGACCGCCTGGTGGACCTGTACGCGTCCGGCGAGCGCCGCTCCTACGGCCCCCAGTTCCTGCGGCAGAAGATGAACGTGAGCGGCGGAGCTTTCGCCGTGGGGGATTTCTCGTTGAGGATCTGGAGGTTGGAGAGCGCTGATGAGGGCACCTACTCGTGTCACCTGCACCATCACTACTGCGGCCTCCACGAGCGCCGCATCTACCGGCTGCTGGTCACCCGGCCGGCCGAGGGGAATGGGAGTGCCCGCGGGGCYGCACCGCCGGCGGGTGAGTGAAACGGGATGGGGGAAATTGTGGGGAAAGTCAGATTCCAGGTGATCTCCTCTTTGGGGATGTGTGGAAGATGCTGGGAAAAGAGAGTGGCATCTCCTGGTGGGGATGGGGGGAAATTTTCCAGACATTCCTCCCAAAACATTCCACCCCAAACATCCCACCCCAAACAGTCCACCCTGATCATTCCACCCCCGAACATTTCACCCCAAACATTTCATCCCGAACATTCCTCCCCGAACATTTCACCCCGAACATTTCACTCCGATCATTCCACCCTGAACATTTCACCCCAAACATCTCACCCCGATCATTTCACCCTTGTCATTCCACCCCGAATATTCCACCAATATTCGGGTAGAATGCCCGAACATTCTACCCCAATCATTCCACCCTGAATATTCCACCCCGAACATCTCACCCCAAACATCCCACCCCAAATATTTCACCCCAAACATCTCACCCCAACCATTCCTCCCTGAACATTCCTCCCCGAACATTCCACCCCAATTATTTCACCCCAAACATCTCACCCTGATCATTCCACCCCAATCATTCCACCCTGAATATTCCACCCCGAACATCTCACCCCAAACATTCCACCCCAATCATTCCACCCAGAACATTTCACCCCGAACATTTCACCCCAAACATTTCACCCCAAACATTTCACCCCAAACACTCCACCCCAAACATTCCACCCCAAATACCTCATCCCAAACATTCAAACACTTCACCTTGAACATTTCACCCCAAACATCTCACCCCAAACATTTCACCCTGAACATTCTTCACCAATCATTCCACCCCAATCATTCCACCCCAAAGATTCCACCCCATGACCCCGTTTTTTTCCCCAATCTCCCCCCATTTTTGTCCCCAAACATTCCACCCTGTGACCCCGTTTTTTTTCCCCGATCTCCCCCATTTTTGTCCCCTCAGATCCCCCCGTGGTTCGGGGTCACAACGTCATCAATGTCATCATTCCCGAGGGCAGGATGCATTTTTTCCAGCAGCTCGGGTACATCCTGGCCACGCTGCTGCTCTTCCTCGTCCTCCTCATCGTCGTGGTGCTCGTCACCCGCCGGCGCCGCCACAGAGGTGAGGCCAGGGGGAAAAAATGTGGAAAAAGGGGAAAAATTGGGAAAAAAAGTGGAAAAAAAGGTGGGAAAAAAGCGGAAAAAGCAGAAAAAAAAGTGGAAAAAGGGGGAAAAAAGCGGAAAAAAAGGTGGGAAAAAAGCGGAAAAAGCAGAAAAAAAAGTGGAAAAAGGGGGGAAGAAAAGCAGAAAAAGGGGGGGAAAAAAGCAGAAAAAGCAGAAAAAGTGGCTGTGTCCTCCTCAGAGGGACATTCCAGGGTGTGCTGAAAATTATTCCTGCAGGGATGGAGGGTTTTCAGTTCTGGAAAAGAAGGTCGGGAGGATTTCTGGGTGCCCCAAAAAGATTTGCTGGTTTGGTGTAAAAATTTCCCAGATTTCGTGGAATTGTTGGGGTTGGAAAAGATCTCCAAAGTCATCGAGT